TGGGCTTGTCTGGGGTGGGTGCTGAGGGTGTGTGTGCTGTGTGGCTGCAGGTGGGGAGACAGAAGAGGAGAAGATCCGTGTGGACATTTTGGAGAACCAGCTGATGGACACCCGCATGCAGCTGGCTAGGATTTGCTACAACCCTGACTTTGTGAGTGCCCCCTCTCCCCCACTGGGCTGAGTGAGTGAGGCAGGACTAGAACTGGGGTTCATACCTTTGCATTAACTATTACTCTGGTCCAGTTTGTCATCTAAATGCCTTTGCTATCATTCTACAAATGGCATTTTCAAGGAAGCTGGGCATAGTGAAGCATTCATGTGGTAACCCCAACACTCGGGAGCACTCTGAGGTAGGAGGTTTGGGAGATTGAGGCTAGCCTCGGTTACATAGCAAGACTATCTCAAACAAAACAAAAAAGAACAACAACAGTAAAACTACACACAAAAATTGTCAACAGAGTGACCCTCAAACTCTAAAGTCTTGTCAAATGAAAATTCCAAATCAATTCCCCTGTCACCTCTTAGGGTCCAGTCCAGACTCCTCATAGTGGAAATTCGGTACCTGGACAGTAAAGTTTGCATTCAGAATGCCGCAGCTCTGATCACAGATTTCTGCCCTGAGCTCTGTCTTTCTGTTGGCTTAAACATCGCTGCCCCTGGAATACACAGACTCACATCAGGAGGAAACGGAGGACCAGCAGGGGCTGGAAGGGCATCCTTGCCTTGGGACCTCTTCCCAGCTAGTTTTCCAGAGCCTTTCCTCAACACCAACAGGAATAAGCAGGTTTTCACTTTAGGTGGCTCACAGTGGGCAAATGCCTTTGATTCTCCCCTTCTTTCATTTTGTCCTCCCAAATTCACTTCATCTTTTGAAAACTGTACCAAATCCCTGCCCTTCTTCTGTCCCTCCACTATGTAGAGCATTCAGTTTCTTTTCTGAAGTACTTTTGGTTGTTGCTTCTTCAATTCTGCCTATTGTTTGAGCTCAGAGCTTGCCAAGTGCTCATACCCATGGGTGTGATACCTGGGGGTGGTTTGAGCATCAGTGATAAGTCTCAAGGACAGTGGATTCCTGTCTAACTTCCCTTCCCTTCTAACACATGGTATCTGGTAACTGAAGGAATCCCCTCAATGCTGATGTGTTAACTTAAAGTCTGGACACTGATCCAGGTCCAGTCTCAAGAAAGATGGCTGCTCACTGAGACCCAGCTGGGGTCTGCTCAGCCCTGGTGAGACTGGCCTCTCTGCTGGGGGATTGTGTCTGAGGGTGGTGACAGCTGTCTTCTGCCTCAGGAGAAACTGAAGCCAGAGTACCTGGAGCAACTCCCTGGAATGATGAAGCTTTTCTCAGAGTTCCTGGGAAAGCGGCCATGGTTTGCAGGGGATAAGGTAAAGGGGAGGGAGACAGGGAGGAGAAGGTGTCATTCTTCCCAGGTTAGAGATCTCAGCTACTGTTCCTCGGCCTTCTGCAGATCACCTTTGTGGATTTCATCGCTTATGATGTCCTTGAGAGGAACCAACTCTTTGAGCCCAAGTGCCTGGAGATGTTCCCAAACTTGAAGGACTTCCTGTGCCGCTTTGAGGTGAAGGTCCCCATCCTCCCTCCTCTTGGATATTCTTCACCCCTTTTATGATGCTTCCTTAGTCCTGGAACTGAAATGAAGAATAACTAGAGTTTGTTGAGCTCTGGCTTTCTGTCGGGAGTGCTTAGCATCAACCAGACTAAGTTTATCTTTACAACATTCCTACAGGGTGGGTAGAATGTTCAGTCCCACTGGACAGATAAGGACCTGAGACTGTAGAGGGGAAGTCAGTTATTAAAGGTGTCAACACCAGTGGAGGCTGTGCTAGGCTCCCTGTGTGCCTCTGGCTTTTAAGGGCAGTAGTCAGTGGCTGCCCCTGTTTTGTGCCAATGGAAAAGCTCCAGACTCTTGTGCAGTCTCAGTTTCCTGCTCAGGATCCTGTGGAGGCAGAGAATATGTCAGGGGTGTGTGCATCTGGCATTAGGAATGAGAGACAACAGGGTGGGCGTGGGGGTGTGGGGAGAGGTTGATGTGAAACACTGGGATGCAGATAATATTCATATACTGTCTGGAGAACACTTTGCCCCATTCGATCCCAGGGATGTAGCTGTGCTGGATTTGAGTAGTGTGTGGGACCACTGTTGGGAAATTTTATTCTGATGTGTTCTATGGTGTGGGACTCTCCTCTCTCTTTCCCTCTCTTTCTTCTTTCTAATGACTCAGTAACCCAGTTTGTGCAATGGGAAGTTATATATAGTTACCTTCACTCATATTCTCTGGCATTCTTCTCTGTATAAAGTGCACTGTGAAACATTCAAAGATTCCTACCCACCCCCACCCTGGGACTGAGTATAGCCAAGAGCAGCAGAAATACTAGATTGTGAGGTACACATGGCACCACCTAAAGGAGGCTGGGGTGACCAGCCTGCACCCCACCTCATAGGTAATCATGGGATACCCAGCAGCCACTTCGACACTCACAAAAACTACTTTATTAGAGATCTGGGAGTTGAAGGCATTAGTGCAACAGTTACTTCAGCCTTGAATCTGAACTCTTTCCCACTACCTTATCAAGCGATAAGGTTCTCATCAGCTCTAGTCCTGGTCCAGGGGAGGTGGCCTTGGGGGTGTGGTGTGCAAGAGCTGGCTTGACTGTGAGGAGGGCGGAAGAGGAGAGCTGAGAGCTGTAGCCTCAAGCCTGCTGGGCCTGGCTTGTTAGATACAGTCAGCTCTGGATGTCTGAATCCTTTAGAGATTATCTGGTCACTTTCTTCTCCCAAGATGGTGTGAAGAACACCTACTATCATTCAGCCTGGGTCCTGTGTGGCATGACTGGAGATGAGACAGGTTGGGGCACGGTAAGATCAGGCTCAGGTACCAAATAAAAAAGGTTACACCCTCTGCTTTCGGGAGAATGGTTAGAGCTGGCCCAGTGTTTTAGGCTGGTCCTCCTCCCCTTGTCCATTTTATGCAGGATTTGCTGAGTTGCAGGGTGAGACCTGCTGCACTGACATGAGCTGGATCCCTTTATCATGTCAGAAGTCCTTTGTCTGTGTGCAAACCCTGGCAAGAAGGAGCTTCTGGTGGAAGAGGAGTGGTCTGTACAGACAGGGAACGACAGGGCCTGCTGAGGGGAGGCAGGAAGGGGGTGCTCAGAGAGCACAGAATGGCAGGCACAGAGCCTGGCTAACTCCAGCCCTGTCCCTCTCACTAGTGGTGTGAGCACGAGGAAGTTGCTTCACCTTTCTAAAACCCAGGTTCTCTCCTGATATGTTGTAATGGTAGGACAGATCTTGCAGGGTTGCTGAGTGGGTTTTTGGAGTCTATATTGTAATGTCTGTAGGTATAAAGCATCTTGCACAACGTCCAGTCTCCTCCTCATTGCAGAAAACTGAAGAGCTCCCTTCCCAGAGCTGGGGAGTTAAGAGACTGGGCTGTGCTCCAGCACTTGACCCCATGGACAGGCTGCTCCTGGAGGGGGGCAGCTCGGCCCAGTGGGCAGCAGTTCTGAGCTCCTGTTTCTCCTTGCACTCTCAGGGACTGAAGAAGATCTCTGCTTACATGAAGTCCAGCCGCTTCCTCCCAACACCCGTATTCACAAAGATGGCCATATGGGGCAACAAGTAGGACCTTGAAAGGGCAGAAGATGGGGCTGAGGAGGCCTTTTCCTCCTGCCCTGGGAAGCATCTAGATCCCCTGTAGCCCTGACTCCACTTCCTCGTTCCTTCTTTCCATGCCCTTGCGAGTCAACATTTCAGTCCTCTTTTCTCTCACCCAATCCCTGTCCCATTCAGACCATTTAAATCGTCAGCTCCTTGTTTTCCCTCAGCAAAGTCCCTGTCCAAATATTACTGTGTCCTACACTAAGATCAGCCCAACCATCCTTCCTGGAAGTGGCTGCTTTGAGGATCCCTGCTGGTACCTCCTCTTGTAGCTCAACCAAGTGCTCCCAGCCCTGCCAGAAAGATCATTTTTTCCTGATGTGTTACCCCATTCCCTAGTTAGGTCCCTGCCAGGCCCAAGCTGATCCCCAATAAAACCTGTGTTTTGTCTTCTCGCCTCTGGCTCCTGCCCTCCTCAGTTCTCATTGCTACCTTCCAATGCCTGTCTGGGGACCCTGGAGGTGGCTGGGTTCACAGGGATTCTGGTGAAGGGCTAAGGGTAAGAAGGGCTTTCAGACTTCTTGGTCCCATTCTGACACCCTCAGAGCAGGTGGCCCCAGGAAGCTATCTAGAGAATACAGGACATCTTTCTAGGCCTGGAATTTCATTTACTCTGCAGTGGTAATGAGGATTTCCAAGGTGAGGTGGGCGGGGGTTTCAATGAGAACAGAGACTCAGCATGGTGGGAATCACCAGCAGGGAGATCCAGGATCCATTTTGCCTCTCGATGACATGGCTGTGTCACAGGGGTAGGTCTCCAGGACCTAGATCTACTCCATTTCTCAGATGGCGTCTTCAATGCTTGTTCTACAGTTGCCATAGGAACCATCTTTCCTGGTTTACTGCTTTCTTTTCTGGGGACTTATGAGATAAATTTCTTCAGTTTTTACATAATGATAATGACTTTATCCTGGTACGCACTCAATTAATATTTCGTTGCACATAGAATTTGAGAAAGAAGGCCTTTAGACTTCTGCTGGCCTAGTGGACCCCTTTCTGGTATGTAACAGATGGTGAAAATGCTGATTTCAGTGTGACCTGAATCCCTTTGTAAATGACACTGACACTGCTGATGGGAATGTACATCAGTCCAGCTACCATGGAAAGCAGTATGGAGGTTTCTCAAAAAGCTAAAAATAGAACTGACATATGCTCCCACTACACCACCCCTGGGCATGTACCAGAAGGAATCAGTCACCTGCCACAGTCATTTTACTCTGCACAATAGCCAAGTTATAGAATCAGCCTAGGTGCTTATCAATGACAAATGGATAAAGAAAATGTGGTGTATATTCACAATGGAGTTTTATTCAACCATAAAAGAACGAAATTATGTCATTTACAGGAAAATGGATACAACTGGAAATCATCACATTAAACAAAATAAGTCAGACTCAGAAAGATAAGTGTCACATGTTTTCTCTTATATGCAGAATCTAGAGTAGAAAAGCACAGACATGAAAGGAGAAAGGGAACTGCTTTAGAAGAATAAGGGGACCAGTGGAAAACTCTAAAGTTGGTACAGGAAAGAGTAGGAAATACTCTGGAGTTAGTAGGTATAGGCAAGAACTTTCTCAACGAAACCTCAGCAGCACAGCAACTAAGAGATAGCATAGATAAATGGGACTTCATAAAACTAAAAAGCTTCTGCTCATCAAAAGAACTGGTCTCTAAACTGAAGAGAACACCCACAGAGTGGGAGAAAATATTTGCCAGCTACACATCAGACGAAGGACTGATAACCAGAATATATAGGGAATTAAAAAACTAAATTCTCCCAAAACTAATGAACCAATAAAGAAATGGGCAAGTGAACTAAACAGAACTTT